ATTATACCAACTATATTTTTAAAAATATGAAAACATCTATTAACTTGAAATTAAACATTATTTTGAAGTTATCGCTCTTGTTCCTTTTTCACAAATCTTGGGAAATTGCTTGTATAATTGTCTTTTTTTTTAAATAAATAATAATGGAGCCAAAGGGCATACTTCAGAATCTTAATTTTTTTTTTCGGTAAAGTGAACTTTTTAAATCAGAAAAACAGTTATTTTTATTATGGTAATAAATAGTTCCTTTTCTGGGCTTGCTCTTGTATCTATCTATTGAGAGAAGATAACACAAATTTTTTTTCCCTTTCTTTTTCTTTACTACATCCCAATCCACCATTATCTGTGGGAAGGCAAACCAGTAATTATTTTAGCCTTCTTTTGTTTAAGGTATACAACTGAACCATGCATATATATTTTTTAAAGAGCAGATTTCAGATTTTTGTTTCACAGATAGAATACAGCTTAAAAACTAGCTTGCTGAAGAAATCGCTTCCTTTGCTTTTCTGTAGCTCTTTTTCTAAGTATTAGCAGATGGCATATGATGATTATCCCCAAAACAGGAAATTTCTAATCTGGGACGTTTTATCTCAAGACATTTCAGCATCTTGAATGGCAAACTCCACACTCTTATCTTAGAATTTAGGTTAAACATGAAAGCTTTATTAGAAAGCAATAGATATTAGTAATTGAGTCTGCCTGGCTAGCTAGCTTAAGGGGAGATTAATAGCTGAGTTCTTGTGTTATCATCAGAGAAGCTTAAAACTACTTTGAAAGATAGACATTCCTTAGGCTCCTCTTTTCTGGCTTCTCCCTGAGTCTGTACTGACTTCTAGGAGTAAAGTAGAGCTTTTGGAGTACTGCAAGTCCTTTCCACTCTCATACTTTTACTTGTAATTGCTTGGCATACCTTTCCAAATAGGTGGCAATAAAGGTAAGTAGGAGATTGTTTCATAAAATATTGCAAAGGTGATTGATTTTGAGGTTATAGAACCTATCACAGTAACTTTCACTTAAAGGAAACTTACTGAATATCTGTTGTGTGGATGTATGAATAAAGTTGCATCAGTACAAAGGAGTATTGTTTATTCTGACTGACTGAACAGAAACAAAGGAAGAGGTTTGTGTGGGGCTTTAAATGCTTTGTTCTGATAGGGCTCTGGGCTTAAGCATAAATTGATTTTTGTGGTATGTAATTTAGATACAGGTGAGAAATTGCATCATGAAAATGAATGGTAACATGGCGTTGCTCAGATTGGAGAAAGATGCTCAAATGGATGCACACAATATGGTACATAAAGCAAAATGAGGGTGTAAAACCCCAGGTGTGAAGAGAACCCATTTAGAGATAATAATGCAGTGTGTAGAGTGAGAAGTGGAACATGATCTTTAACTTTGGAGTAAACAGAAAATTTGCCAACTAGGAAAATTATAAAATGAAATAAAACATTAAACAGTTGCACCTCTAAAGAAAACCTAAATAAATTTAGCAGTTTGGCCCAGGAAAGGAAGGGCCATGAGGAGAAATGAATTTTTCTTAGGTATTTTAAAGATTATTAAGGAGAATGAAAAGGAAAATATTCAAATTGTATAGTATTCAGATGAAATGAAAGAATTCCTTGGGATGTGAAACCAAGTATTTTTTCTCTGGAAATAGAGGAGAGGTACTTACTGTATGTGTATGTGTGTGTGTGTGTATATACGTTTTATTGAAATATAGTCAATTTACAGTGTGTCAATTTTTGATGTACAGCACAATGCTTCAGTCATACATGAACATACATATATTTGTTTTCATATTCTTTGAGAGATACTTCTTAATGTGGCATATTTCTACATAAAAACAGGACCAGATTCATTTATCAGATACTTATTTGAGCACCTACTATGTGCCAGGCACTTGGGAAACATCAGTGAAAGACTACTTTCATAGACCAGTTCTTTAGAGTCATAGATGCTGGAGAATAAATCAGGAAGATTCCAAAAGGCACAGGCAATCTCGGTTTGTAGAATACTTTATAAGAATGTAACCACTTCGTTGGGTAATGGTGAAGAGAATATTTATAGAGTCTGGGGTTTCTTATGGAAGCATTAAGTATGTTTTCATTCCTATGGTGTTATCCTCCAGATGTTAACTAGGAGCATTGTGGGTTGAGGAAACCTCATTACCTACCTGGGAGGAGTGGGTCGAATACCATTTATGAAGTTACTGTTTCTTTTCTGTCTTGTTTTATCCTATAGGTCTGATCTAAGCCATAGTGACCCTGTTCAGGATCATTTGCTATTTAAGAAGACTCTCCTGCCAGTATGGAAGATGATTGCCAGTCACAGGTGGGACTCCAAGCCACTTTTGGAATTCACAGCAAGTCTTCTCATTTAGAGTGACTCTCCAGGGTTTCTTCATCCTCTCTGGGTTTGTCCCTGAACAGGTTCAGTAGTCCATTTCTGAAGCCTGTGTCAGAAAGGCAGGCCCCTGGATACAAGGATGTGGTGAAAAGGTCAGTGGAAAAGGGGTCAAGAAAGGTTGGTTGCTTTTATATCTGTCTTTTCATACTTTTATTTCCCACCTACTAGATTATTTCTTTATTTCATTTATATTACTTAAGCTTAAGATGTATTTTATGGCTGAACAAGATTGTAAAGTTAGGATAAGCTCAGTCCTCATTTGAGAATACAAAGAACAAAAGGATAAAGAGGCTTTTTCTTCTTTTTTCAGTATTGACTTTTAAGTAGTATGATCCATTTATTATAATCTTACATTAGTCTTTAGTAGTTTTTGACACTGTTATTTTGGAACAAAACTTTAAAAGGAACACTGTATTCACTCAGGCAGTTATAGGTATGCTAAGGTGAAGATGGTAATCCAAATGGATTTTACAAACATTGGTTGATGGCAGTATTTTGGATTTTTACAGCATAGTTCAGAACCTAAAATACTGTTATAAATGAATATGTTAATAGTGCATAAAAGATCAGAAAAGGACCTTTGGAGACAGATTTCTTAATTCTGTAGATGAAGAAACTAAGACTCAGAGGTGGTCATGACTTGTTTGCGATTAACAGTGAATAGCAGAGCTAGAACTATACCCTAGCTTCTTCCAGTTCAGTTCTCTTTCTGCACTGCTATGCCTTCTCTTATATACCCACTCTCTGTGTCTCATAATATAATTATTTATCTTACTATTCACTTGATTCTCACTCTTTTCATCTCCATGAAAGACGAAAAAACTCTTGAGCTTTTGATTATACAGTAAAAGAAGTTGGTACCTGGTATATGACTACACATTGTAAACAATCAGTCTGTAACTACCATGTGATAAACTGATCATTGGAACTCTACAACTTTGATACCTCCAATTGTAAAGTGTAGTGACTAGACCTGTGGGCTCTGGAGTCAGGCTGCCTCTGAATTGGAATCCAAGCTGTGTGACTTTGGGCAAGTACCTAACTCCTTTAGATCTCAGTTTCCTCATTACCGATTGTGATAATGGTACCTACCACATAGGTTTATTGAGAGGGTCAAGTGAGTTAATATAGAAAGTATCTAGCATAGCACTTGGCATATTGTAAGCAGTACTGCATTAGCTGCTGTTTGTTGCTTTTTTATTATTTGATGGGGATTGTTATCTTTAGCATTGTTTTCATTAAGAGCTGGTTAGTTCTCCAAGAGATCATGTTAAGTCACCACATGTTCCACATGAATGTTTGATTTCATCTGATTTCTCTTGGCCACCTGTAGACCCATGGACTTAACTAGCCTGAAAAGGAATCTGTCTAAGGGACGGATTCGCACCATGGCTCAGTTCCAGCGTGACCTAATGCTGATGTTCCAAAATGCTGTGATGTACAATGACTCTGATCATCATGTGTACCATATGGCTGTGGAGATGCAGCGAGAAGTCTTGGAGCAGATTCAGGTACTGTAGGTAGAGAGCTGCAAGAAAAAGGAGTGTGGTCTCTGGAATCTGATTTTAGAAAGTCTGTAAGAATAAGGGTGATTCTGAAGGGATCTTGTGTTCCCAGAGTTTATGTGTAGAAGACGATTCAAAGTCCTGAGGGACTGACATTGTACTGGCTGGTTTGGAAAACCTGAAGCTCCCTGTGACCAGCTTTAATAGATAGCGATATAAAATAGCCTAGGAAGGCAAGCCACAGTGAAGAGCTCTTAAGAGAACTGGGATAGATAAGTAATGGGAACACCTGCTTCCAGAGCCTCAAGTCAGAGGGCTAAATATGTAAACCGAGGCTGGAGTTACTGTCCATTTTTTAGTTGCTATAGCTGTTGGTATTAATGTGTGTTCACATTGTCCCATCTATAGGAGATAAGGCATGATAGCTAGAAGGAGACATTTGAAGGTTTCTTTTCTGAACGTGTTACTTTAAAGAAAAAAGCATAGTTAAATCTGTGTGGAGAAAAATAAAATTGCATTCAAACTTCCATAGAGATTCATAGCTTGCTGTCTGCTTTGACCCTGTAGGTGCTGAGTATTTGGTTAGACAAAAGAAGAGACTTAACTAGTTTGGAATGAGAACCAGCCAACCCCGTGGATGATAGAAAACCTGTTTTGTTAACTTGGAGCTGCTACTCTGAACTTTTCTGGAATTTGGACCTCTCATCGAGACTCTGACCCTAGAGAAGATCCCAGTACTTGTTTACCACTTCTCTGTTGTCTTTTCTAGTAAGAATAATGCCTTAACTAACAACCAAAGACTCAAAGGTGCCTGTAGACATAATTTAAAGAAAACAGGAAAAGCTGAGATCTGGGGGTATGCTGTGAATGTTGCTCACATCTTTGTTCCATAGGCTTAATTTAGAGGTAAATAGATTAAACCTCTTGTTACTGCTCTTTAAATAAATGTTATTTCACAAGTCAAAATATTGCTTTTTAATTACAGAAGCTAGGAATAGAGGGGATGGCATTATCTGGTGAAATAAGGAAAGTATTTGACATGGGTTTTCTTACATACACTGTCGGGAAGGGGCTGGGATAGAATAAGGGGAGAGTATCTATGATTTGTCTCATCGTTTATAAAGTAGAGACAATTGAAGTGTCCTTAGAATGGCTAAGAGGATGAAATAAGATAAATTATGAGTAAGATGTTAGAAAACGTCTACTGCTTTAATATACGCAAGGGGAATAAAAATGTCTGTGGCTGGTTCCCTTTCTTGGTCTTAAAAAAAAAACCCAAAAAACAGAAAAACTGGCTGCAGGCTGTGAAGCGCTCTGGTAGGATTGGCCCTCTGCAGCCACCGTTCCTAAGTTGAGTTTCAGGTCTCCTAGCAACAAGCTGTGGTGACACAGGAGGAGCCAGGGCTAAGGTAAGTGCTCAGATGAGGGTCGGGCTCTGAAGCAATACGAGGTGCAGCCTGCAGAGGCTCAGGGGACCTAGGGATTCTGCTTTCCAGTCGGGCCTGACCTTATGCGTAGTTGTCCCTGGAGGGGCGGGCCCCTCACCTGCTGCCGCTTGAGTGATGCAGAGTTGCCAGCCTGCTCTCCTGTGCCCACAGGGTCGTGGGCTTTTGAATTTCCCTTGGCCTCTCCACCTTAATGAAAACGTTTAGGAAAACACCCGCACAACTTAGACGCAGAGTAGAAATCGTGCTAAAATTGAGACACTACTTGTAGGAAAAGATATGACAGTTTTCAACTTTATATATTAATAAAGTCAAGCTCCTGATAATGCTGTTTAGTCACAATTACATTCAATTTGGGGTGGGGGATGCATGTCATTACAGTTGATACCTGTCAAGAATCTTAAATTGTCCTCTGAAAAGCCAGAATGGAGCTATCAATGCTCCCACCTCAGATCTATGTAGAAAAAACTCTGGCCATTATCAAACCAGATATTGCTGACAAAGAGGAGGAGATACAAGACATTATTCTCAGATCTGGATTCACCATTGTTCAGGTAACTTCTGGGAAGGATGATTATGTTTTTTTCTCTCTAATGAATTAAGGCTTTTCCTCCGCCTAAAATAGGAATTAAAACTTACTTTATCTTAAGTAGAATATATATTTGGAATCTCTTCTTACTCATAGGGTTATATCCCTAAACTGTTATTTTAGATTGCTTTTTGCTTTACCTTTTTAAAATACTTATGTAAATGTGTTAGCCCATTTAGAGCCTTAGTATTTAGCATTAAATTTAGGTGTATTCTAAGTATTAAAGTTATATGTGATGATTTTTAAAAGATTTTTTTACACTTCAAAAGGATATAACATGAGAAATGAAATTTCTTTTTCTTCCATCTCTCCTCTCCCAGTTCAAGTCCTAGTCTCCAGACAGAGGCAGCCACTTAACACTTTCTGTTGTTCCAGGATTTTTTTATGCATTTACAAACATTCCCCCCACCCTGCATAAAGTAGGATAATCCTCCTCCCTTGATCCCCTTTACAAAGTCTCTCCAGTAACATTCCAAATCACTACATCTGAATCTATCTCATTCTTCTTAATTTCTGTGTAATACTCCCCTTTGCAGGTGAACCACAATTTATTTACCTTGTCTTCTATTAATGGATTTTTAGACTGCTGGTAATTTTTTTCCAGCTGCTTATGAACGTTTGATGTTTTAAGCCTTATACTTGTTCTGCAGTTAGTAGTTTTGAAAATGAATGTAAAAAGAGTATTATTAAAGATTATAAAATAGAATAGAGTATTTTTAATCTTATTTCTTAGTACCATCTTTATTTGAAATTACAGTTTTTTGTTCCCTTATATTTATACAGTGTCATCGCCTATTTAGTCACTATCTTAAAAAATAAAAAAAGAAAGTTTCAATCTTCAGGAAAGACATGGGATTTCAGATAAACTTAGGAAGGATAGGTAGAGACTGAGGGTAGAGATGGTACTAGAAAGTGTAAGGGAATAGTAATGCAAAAAAGTTTAAGGAAATATTTAATATAATTAAAAGGCTCAGGTAAATATGAACTTTTTAATAAATGTTAGGAAAAGTGTGTAGCCATTTTTTATAAAGGTTGGATTCAAGTATTATACTGTATATACCGGGATAAATTCCAAATGGATCTGAGATTTAAATATTAAAAAACTAAACCATACAGATTCTAGAAGAAAAGAAGGCTGAATTTCTTTTTATTCTTGGAATGGGATAGCCTTTTTACTGTGACTTAAAGACTAGGTACCATAAAAGAAAAGATTGATAAAATTATAAACATAAAAAACTTCTGCATGGCCTAATAAGCAAAGTCAAAACACAAATGACACACTTGGAAAAAAGGTTTGCAATTCATATCACAAAGTCTAATCTCCCGAATATATAGAAAGCTCCTAGAAAAGGATAAAAATTCAGTTGAAAATGGGCAGTACATGTGGATGGTCACAGAAGAAGAAAAACAAATGCTTCTTAAACATAGGAAAAGATTCTCCATCTCTAAGCAGGAAAAAAAATTTTTAAATGGCACTAAGGTACCATCTGGTAAGAATATAAAAGTAAATCACAACCCTTATGGATGGGAATCTGGCAGATATCAATATTACAGATGCTTTTACCATTTGACCCAGCCATACTGCTTTGGGAATCCCTACTATAACCCATGTATTAATATGAAGTGACATATATACAGGTTATTTTTTGCAGTATTGTTTATTTACAAGCAAAAGATTGAAAACAACCCAGCATTAGAAGACTGGTTAAAGTAACACTGGTGAATCCACCAAATTGAATACTATGCAACTAATTATAAAAAGAACAGTGGGTAACCTCTCTGTGTGCTGTTACGGAAAAAAGCAAGATGCAGAACGATGTGTGGCAACTTTTTGTGATAGAGAAAAATAATACATATTCATGTTTGCCAGTATTTGCAAAATGAAGCACTGGAGATAAACATTAAAAAATAATTACATATTGAAGGCAAGGAAAAATCGTAGGTTAGGACGGAAATGAAAAAGAGATTTTTCAGTGTATACCTTTTTATATTGCTTTGAACTTTTTAACCCTGTAAGTATAGTACCAAACAATTAAAGAAGTAAACAAATAAGATAGTTATCCCATTTTTTAAAAAAGTTCATATTTTTAAAAGGATTAGTGAAAGTTAATAATCAGGCAGCTAATGATTATAAGTTAAATATAATTAAATTATTAAATATAATTAAATATATTAAGTATTATTAAATGTATTAAATATTAATAAATATATTAAATATTATTAAATATATTAAATACTTATACTGAGTGCTAATATTAGTACTTTCCCTAGTTAGCAACAAATTCCAAACCAAAAAATGCCTTGGTTTAATTGTGATAAAATATACACAACATAAAATTTACCATTTTAACCATTTTTAAGTGTGTAGTTCAGCAGCATTAAGTACGTTCATACTGTAGTGCAGCCATCACCACTATCCATCTCTAGAACTTTTTCATTATCTCAAACTGAAACTCTGTACCCATTAAGCACTAACTCCCTGTTTTTCCTTCTCTCCAGCTCTTGGTAACCACTATTCTACTTTCTGTCTCCGTAACTTTGACTATTCCATATATCTCATATAAGTGAATCGTATCTGTCCTTTGTATTGTATGCTTTTAAAATAGGCTCTATTGTAGTTGGGAGTTCACTAACCTTGAGGCTTTCTTGTTCCATTTAGGAGAAAACCGTCTGAAAAATGATGTATTCTTTCAGTAGGTGGCAGTCTTTCCCGTGTTACAAACAAATGGTTTGGTTCCTTTGCTGATATTATTTAATATCACTCCTCCTCTTTGTGAAAATATTAATCTAAATTCCAAAATATTTATCTGAGCTAATTTTAAAGCAATTAATGCAATCATTAATTCAGTATCAACTTTAGTTTAAGATGAGCCCTTTTTTTTTTCAAAATTATGCTACATTAGCTAGCATACCTGCAGAAGATAACTACCCCTGCTTGTTAAGGGGTATGTGGCAGATGAGGGCTTACAATGCAACAGATGAGATTTTTATTTTTTAACCTAGCAACAAAAAACCTCAAACCAATATGCATTAGAATCACAAATACTGGCATGCCTAAATTTTAAATAATAAAATCAAGGGTTATACTAAATCATATTCTACTATAACTTTTCAAATTTCTTCTATTTCTTGACTATATGAATTTTAATGTGAGAACAGATGTCGGCACCTTTTTTGATAGTAACTGGTTCTTGATTGGTGAGAATTTTATGTTTGTCCAGCAGAGCCTGTTCATAACGGTACTGACCCACTTAGGTAAGCATCTTTCCAAGTTTCTTGCTCTGGGCAATTTAGATCCCTCGCTGCAAAGCAAGCAATTTGATCATTTCTGAAATCTGTGGACACATGATAGTTTTGGGAGGGGCTTTAAGAGGTAGATCACTTGGTATAATTTGCATTGTACTCTCAGTAAAATCTAACCCTCTTTAGAAAGATGGATAGCTCCCTTAATCTTGGAGACTTTTATCTTACACCTAGAAACTTATCTCCATGTCTCATCATCCTTACTCCAGCCAGAAGTCTTCCTTGATGTCAACTTTGAATCCCTCTATTATATTTTGAGCCCTTGCCCTCATGATCTACTTTTAGTGGAATTAAAAAACAATAATAATGGAATGATTTTTTAAATGCACTCAAATAGTTGCTTTTAGGGAAAGCATGATGCTTTCTGATTGGAAGAATGACTGACTATGATATTTTTAATTTAATGATTCATTTATATAGTCTTTTGTGAAGAAAATAACATTAATTTGTCCCAAACATTTCATATTCTTTCAAATTAAGAAACTTAATGCCAACTAATTATTCTTAAGATCATAGTGAATCAACATGTTTATGGCAGAACCAGAATAAAGAATATACAACTTTCATGTCCAAGTGAAAAACTTGTTTACTGCATCATTATACTACATACTATTTCTAAGTTCCATGAGAGCAGCTCTCTAAAATAATGCAGGAAAATTTCACAATGAATAGGAAAATATCACAAATAGACAGGGAAAGATGAATTTGGAATATTCTAAAGTCCAACTTTATTACCATAGTGTATACAAGTATATATTAACAAAATATTGATAACTAGAGTGTTTTTACTTTAATAAGGGGATATACTTAATTTGCCATTAACAAACCATTTGTTGAAGGAGGCTGCAAAACCAGCATAATTTTACTTAAGTAGGTTAAATAACTCTTATTTACAGCCTACATTAATTTAATCTTGTCTTGCCCTTTGCTCCTAAGACAAAAATAAATCTCAAATTTGTAATCAAATCGGTGCTGATTTCAAATTATTAATAACTTAATGAGGTATTCTTGAACTGTCATTTTAAATGTCTTTGTTGACTTTCTCTTATAGAGAAGAAAACTTCATCTCAGCCCTGAGCACTGTAGTAACTTTTATGTGGAACAGTATGGGAAAATGTTTTTCCCCAATTTAACAGCTTACATGAGTTCTGGACCACTTGTTGCCATGATATTAGCTAGACATAAAGCCATCTCTTATTGGAAAGAACTTTTGGGACCAAGTAATAGCTTAGTAGCTAAGGAGACACATCCAGACAGGTAACTTTCCTATGGGAAAAAATGGAATACAACTATGAAAATGGTGGGGTGGGGGGAGGAGGAGGATCTCATTGTAATAGAAATTTCCTTTCATTTGAAAGTTTTCCTAAATTATCTGATTTTGGGGGAGCTTGGAGGGGGCTGGTGGAAGAGATCCACTTTATATTTTAACTACTTTAATGTCTATTTTAATATCAAATACCTCAAAAGTTCTCAGAAAATTTTGACTTATGGTTGGTGAGTCTTATTTTTCTCTCATCCTTGAATTAACCTGCCACTGATGTGGGATTTGTCATGGAAAAATTGGTATGGTATTTTACAGAATATTGGTAAATAGGACCAGAAATTCAGATTTTCACCATTATCATTAATGTTGGGAAACCAGAAGTCATTAAGTTCTTGCACTTTTGAAAATGCATTGCTTTTTAACTTCTCACAAAACAACACCTCTTTTTCATCCACAGTGTATTCTTCCTGCAGATTTAAGTATATTTGACCCTCATCTAGAGTTATGCTTAATTTCAAAGTAGATTAAAACCTGTGAGATTAAAAAATACAAGAAGTGGCAGTGCTTCTGTAAAATTCCTAAGTAGAATGCATGTGTAAATAGTAAGGAAAGAATGTCAGTAGGATGCTCATCATCTCTAATTTGTCTTTAGTCTAAGGGCAATTTATGGCACAGATGAACTAAGGAATGCACTTCATGGGAGTAATGATTTTGCTGCAGCAGAAAGAGAAATTCGATTCATGTTTCCTGCAGGTGAGTTACAGATGAGTAATTAGTCAGTTGCATCTCCTTATTGTTTTTTTTTTTAATTTTATTTTGGAGATGTAGCTGGGAATGAAGATAAAAGGGTTTTTCTCCAGTATATTGTCATGTTTTCAAGTTGTAGTTACTTAACAGCTTGAAACCAAGAATAGAAAGCTCAACATTTTTCTCAGAACTAAATTGTGCCCTTTAGGGAATCTTTTGAGAAGAGTTTACTTTTTTCTTTCTTTTCTCTTGGACTAGACATATCTAGGGTTTTTCTTTTTCTGTGTTGTAATTCCTTTTAGTTATCCCTAAATGCATCAGTCAGATTTTGTTACACATGAAAAAAGAATCTTCTTTGGAAATTATGATTGCTTTGCCATTTTCTCTTAACAGTTTACCATTTGTCTAACAAGTACTCATGCAGTTATGAAATTAATAGTTCTTAGGCCCTTTTTTGTTACCATCCTGTTATGGAAGTTTTAAACCTTTTAGAAGTGTGCATAATGAGGAACAGCTTGAAGTTTTTAGTTTGTTTTCAGTAATATTTTTAGAGCAGAAAAAAATTGGTGATTTTCATTATAAAGAAAAAAATTCAAAGCACTGGACCATTTTGAATTTTTTTTAGCATGTTATTTTTCTCTTAAATAATTTAGATCTGTTCCTCAGTATTCTTTGCTGAAGATTTATTCACAGAAAACTGAAAATTGTCTTGGAGATTTTTGAACAAACAGACAAAAACTGTTTTATAGATATTTGTATACAAAAGGATTTGCTTACTACATATTTTATTCTTACTGATCTAATTTCTGTCATATCCATTCCATTAAGATATCTTTTTCTTTGGAGCAGTTTATTGTGAAAAATCTACACACAAGTAGACAGAATAGAGAAGTAAACCCCTAATAACTCATCACCTACCTTCAACAATTTTGGTTACTCTCTTATTTCGTCTATAACCCTTACTCCTACTTCTCCTGCTTTCATATTATTTTAAGGCAAATCTCAAACATGAGATGTCTTTTTAATGTGGTAGATCTTTAGATTAAGTACTACTAGTGAATTAGATTTTTCCTCCTTAGCTTTTAACTAAAATAGAATTAAAAACTCATTTATCTTACATAGAACATATATTTGGAAGCTCTTCTTACTCATAAAGTTCTATCCCTAAACTGTTATTTTAGATTGCCTATGATCTTACCTATCAATTAATCCTCTAGATATAGTTAGATATTTGATAAGCAGCAGCTGTAGGATAAATATAAATGATTTATTACCTACCACATTGCAGTTCTTTTGCTGTTGGAATGTGAAGTTCTTTGGAGTAAGTTCTCAGTTTGTGATGTGAGCTCCCTCTTGCTTGGCAGTCAGTCAGAAACTATGTGCAAAACTGTATATGATGGGTCACAAAAGCAAGTTATAAAGATATTTAAAGACATGTTCCTAATCCTTAGAAAAACTAGTGCTCTTCCCTTTCCCTTTTAATTGGGATGGCTAATTTAAAGCTTTGCTATATTCTACTCATTCAACAAATTTATTGAATTACCTAGTTTGTGCCAGAAATACAGAGATAAACAAGAAGATGCCCCTGTTCTCTCAAGGTGATCATATTTTAAAAGTCTATAAAAATAAATATACAATTCAGTGTATAAATTATGTTATGAAAAACCTGTAAAAATTGCAGTGAAAATTTATCTGTAAGAAACATGAAAACACTTTATATTTTCTCATTTATTTATCCAGCCCTAATTGCTAGAGAAAAATAATAAATGGTCAGCCAAAATAGACAAGGTAGAAACAAACAATCCAAAAATGAAGTTAAGGAAACAGTTTTATTCACAGTAGCATCAAAAATAATAAAATACTTAGGAATAAATATAAGAAAAGAGGTACAATTCTTATGTACTGAAAAGCATAAAACATTGCTGAGAGAAATTATAGAATATTTAAGTAAATAGACATCCCATGTTCCTGGGATCAGAAGAATCATTATTTTCAAGATGGCAATTCTCTCCAAATTGATCAATAAATTTAATGTAATCCCTATCAAAGTACATGCATGCTTTTATGTAGAAATTATCAAGCTGATTCTAAAATTTATATGGAATTGTAAAGGATCTAGAAGAGCCAAAACAGTATTGAAATGAAGAACAAAGTTGGAGAACTTCCACTAATTTGATTTCAAAACCTGTTATGAAACCATGATATTTAAGACAGAATGGTACTGACATAAGGATAGACGTAAAGATCAGTGAAGCATAACTGAGGCTCTGGAAATAAATCCCTACATTATGGCTAATTGATTTTTGACAGAAGTACCTAGACAATTTGATGGGGAAAGCATGGTCTCTTCAAGAAGTGGTGTGGAGGACAACTGTATATCCACATGCAAAAACAAACTAACAAAAAAGCAACTTAAAGCTTTGTTTCACACTGCACACAAAATTTAATTCAACATGGATCATAGACCTAAACATAAGAGCTAAAAATATCTAGAAGAAAACACAGGAGAAAATCTTCATGACCTTGAGTTGGACAAAGAGTTCTTACATATGACAGCAAAAGCATGATCTTAAAAGAAAATATTAAAAATTGGGCTACATCAAAATTGAAAGCTTTTCAAAAAAAATTCAAAGCTTTTCTTCTTCAAAAATCATCATTAACAGTATGAAAAGATAAACCACAGACTGGGAGAAAATATTTGCAAATCATATATCAGATAAAGGACTTGTATCCAGAATATATAAAGAACTTTCATAACTCAGTAATAAGACAGCCAGATTATAAACTGAGCAGAAGATTTGAATTCACAAAAGATGAATGGCTAATAATCACATGAAAAAGTGCTCAGCATAATTAATCAATGGGGAAATGCAAATTGAAACCACAATGAGATACCACTGCTTACCCACTGGAATGATTATGATGAGTGGCAAAGATAAGAGATACTAGAATCCTCATATGTTATTGTAAAATGTGACAGCCACTTTGAAAAACAGTTTGGTTATCTCTTAAAATGTTAAAACATACATGTAATGTATAACTCTGCTAGCAGTTCCACTACTAGCAGAATCTACCCACTCAAGAGAAATGAAAACACAAATCTACTTAAAGACACATGTGAATATTCATAACAACATTATTTAATATAGCCCCAAACTGGAAACAACAAACCATCTATTCATCAGTGGCTAAACAAAATTTAGTATAGCCATATAGCCATACAGTGGAATACTACTCAGCAATTAAAAGGAACAAACATGCTATAACATGCATGGACCTCAAAACATTATTCTAGGTAGAATAATCCAGGCACAGAAGACCACATATTATATGATCCATTTATCTGAAATGTCTAGGAAAGACAAATTTTTAGAAACAGTTCAGTGGTTGCCAAGAGCTAGATAGAGTAGGAGCAGTAGTGGGGAATTGCAAATGAGTACAAGGAAACATTTTGAGGGTGATGGAAGTTTTCTGAAACTGGATCATGGTGATGATCACATAATTATAAATTTGTTAAAAGTCAGTTGTGTGCTACAGTGGGATAATTTTATAAGTGAATTAGACCTTAATAAAACTTAAAAATAAAATTATAAAAAGTAAATCATGTCTCTGCTGTCATGGAGTTTATAGTCTAGTGTTTGAAAGATATCCATTAAACAATAGTTATCTAAATAATTGCATAAAACAGTTGCATAGTTATTGTGTGGTAAGTGCTATAAGAGCCAATTAGAGGGTATCATGAGACACTGTAAGACAGCCCCTGACTGAGGAACTGACATTTTAGCTGAGATCCAAGGTATAAGTAGTGGTTAACCAGAGAAAGAAAAGAGCATTTTAGCAGAAGGAATAGCAAGTGCTAAAGTCATGAGTAGGAAAGAATGTAGCATATTCTATAAACTGAAAGATCTAGGAGAAGACACACTAAGATGATGTTGGAGAGGTATATCGAGGTCACATGGTATGACCTTTGGCCCTTTTTATGGAGTTCTGTCTTGCTTGTAAGTGCAATGACGAACCAATTAAGCATTTTAAAGATGAGAGTGACATAGATTTTCGTTTTTTAAATACTACAAAGGACCTGGGAACAGTGAACTTTCAAAAAAATGGTCTTAACATGGAATTTACAAAGTAGAAGAGACAGATGACAGAAGTATTTATATAATCAAAATAAAGCAAAATTATACAGTGATCAGTGATCAGTGTAATGAAGGGTGCTACAACCAGACTAAAAGGAAAGAAACCTGTTACCCAAGATCTATGGGACTTCCTCCAGCTTTTCCTCGCATTATGGCAAATGACTCCCATTGTTACTCCTTGTGTCACTGAGACTGAGCCTAGACACATACATATGTAGTCATACAGAAATCTATCCTCCCAGTCTCCTTTCCCTTGGGCCAATAAGGATTTAGTTCTGAGCACATGAGACTGCTAGCTTCACTTTCTCATCTTTATCATAAGTAGCACATTGATGGGGATTAATCTCAAAAGACCAATGAAAACTTACACATTTCTTTCTAGTAGAAATATTCTTTGTTGTACTGCAAGTCTGGTTCACCTATGTAGTGTTCAGACAAGGCTGAAAAGACTAAAATTTCCCTAAATCTTACATAATTTGTTTAAAAGCCTGCAAAATAAGAGCAGGAATATTAATACATACTGTACAGATAGAAATAGGCTGTATGGAATTAATTGCTGTATTATTTTAATCCAGATTATACATGTTCTTTATATTTTTCTTTTGCATAACATTGTCCATTATACTGTTTACTGTAAAAAACACAGAAATGGAAATGCAGAAATGGATATTGTTGAAAACATAATCAGAATCTTATACTGATCACTATTAGCATTTTGATATGTTTCTTGCCAGTCTTACAAGTCTTATTATTTCTCTGTATATGTGTGCTTGTATGTTTTTGAACAAACTATTATGCTATGTATCTAGTTCTGTTTTCTTTTTTAAAAAATAACTAAGTATTTCTCATGCCATTAAAAGTTCTTTGAATGTGGCCTTTATAGTGACTGTGTAATATTTCATCATTATGTTAGCTTTAATGGGAATACATTTGTATTTGCAGTGATTGTTGAGCCCATTCCAGTTGGACAAGCTGCTAAGGACTATTTAAATTTGTATGTAACACCAACTCTTCTTAAAGGACTCACAGAGCTTTGTAAGCAAAAACCAGCAGATCCTTTTGTAAGAAATATTTTTATTTGTACTAAAGAATGTTGATAGTTTTCACAGGTAAAATACTGTATTTTTTGAAACAGTACAAGTATTAAGAGTTGTTTTTAAAAACTATTTTTTATATATTTTAGATACTTTCTTATGTAACGTTTGATTATACTTGACCCTTGAGTAAGCATGGGGGTTAGGAACACCAACCTTCTGTACAGTCAAAAATCATAGGCCCTTATATCCTTAGTTCCTCCATATCTGTGATTCTGCATCTGGTTCAACCAATTGTGAGTTGTATGGTACTGTAGTATTTACTACTGAATAAAATCCATGTGAAAATGGACCCCCACAGTTCAAACCTGTGTTGCTCAAGGGTTAACTATACTTATTTTCTTGCTGTGTTTTAACTCTTAAAAAGCATTTTTCTAAGGACATTTTCAATTATTACATCCTTCAATTGCTGAGCATTGTTTTTGTGTATAATTTATATAATCAAATGATAAAATAATAAAATTAGATATATATTGAATTTTGTTCAATATTTTTGTTTCTCATGATGTCTAAATTTTTTCAGTAGAAAACTTAAATTTATTCACATCCCTAGATGCTTCAACATTGCTCAGTCAGGTGGAAGAATGATTGAGTATGAGGGATAATAATCCTAGGCCAAATGTCAGTCTGGGTCCATCTTTCCAGATATTCCCACCCATTTGAAGAATCTCAGAAATAATCAGGGAAGGTTATTTTAATATCAGCCCTACCAAAATTGTATCTTTAGCCTTTGTAACCATTCTCAAAATACTCTGGAAGACAAAAGATAAAATCTTTCCTACTAGCATTATCACTTTGAACAAAAAGAAAAATGTTGGTGGATTGTTTCTTTTGTTTGTTTGTTTTTTTGTTTTTGTTTTTGTATTTTTTTAATGAAGGTACTGAGGACTGTACCCAGGACTTTGTGCATCTTAAGCATGCATTCTACCACTGAGCTATATACCCTTCCACCTCCAATTGTTTCTTTAATAACTCTTTTTCATAGTGAAAATAATACATTTTTATTTAGTAAAAAAGCTGAAGCAACTGGAAAATGTGAAGAAAAGAAATACCCTGGTTCCATTTCCTAAACATGGTCTCTCAAGTCATCTTGCCTGGATTCACCTCTGACTCCAGACACCTAACCTCTCTCTGAGTCTGTTTATTCTCATCAGTAAAATATAGATGTATTAGTACCTACCTACTTAGTAAGGATATTGTTGGGATTAAACATGTAAATGCATGTAAAATTCTTAGTCAAAGTGCCTGGCACATAAGTGCTCAAACATTAATTGCTGCTATTGATGTTTTGGGGGGGTTTTTTAGCCTAATGAAACTAATCCAGTCCTGTTTTCTTCTGTGCTCAGGTTTAATTTTTTTATATGACTGTATATAAACACATATCCCATAAATATTGCTGTATTTAAATACATGTTTTATAGAGATTATTTTAATAGTCACATGATATTTCTTTTATTACCTTTACCATTCTTTTGCTGTTTGAGTTGTTTGCTATT